CCACGTATAAGTACTTTTTCAATAGCCTTTTTTTGACAGATCAAGCATGAGTCGTGTCAAGCTGTCATGATATTTTTGTTCAGTATTATTAAGCATTTCACCATGAACAACGTATACAAATCGTTCAACTTTATTACGAAAACTCACGCGATGAGGCATATTTCTGGCTCAATAGGTAAACAAGCAAAATTGCATCATTTGGAACGAAGAGCAATCTGAAGAGATCCAAGCGTTACCATTTCATTCTGAAAATAACGGTTTGGTGTGGTTTGTCTTTCAAAAATGCTGCTGTTGAGAACGTAACCGTCAATGGCGACCATTATCGCGCCATGATAACCGACTATTCGATGCCTGAAATTAAAGCTCTTACTTCGGCGACATTTGGTTTCAACAAGAGTGCGCCACTTCCCACACATCGCATCAATCAATGGATTTATTGAGAGAACACTTCGGTGAGCAGATAATTTCACTTTTTGTGCCGGTAGATTGGCCACCAATATCGTGTCATATCACCCCGTAAGACTTTTTCCAGTGTGTATATGTAAAGTCTTCGATTCAGGCCTTGGAGCAAAACATCGCGCGTGCCAATCGCTAGTTACCATTCGAAATTTTTTTAATCGTCTGATGAATTCACTAGGGGAAAGCAACTCTTTATGTCTTTTTCAGGAATTCATTAAATTTGAAATTACTTTTCACCGCTTGGACACTTTTGTCTTCTGCTGTCAAAATAGTGACCGAATTTCGTTGGTTGGTTAGTTGAAGAGGTGTTCGAAATAATGCCGATGGCAGCGTCCGCATTAAGGCATTACACTTACATTCAACAACTCGCTGGATTATAACAAATTTCCTACGTTTTGTTCACCCTAGATAACTTTAATTCAAAATGAGCCATTTTCTTTTGCGGAAACATTGTATTTTGTCAAAGTTTTAAAATTTGTATTATTGTGATTTCAATTCGTTAAATTATCGCATCTGAAAGTAAGCTGACAAAAACAAAGGTGAAAAAATCTCTTTCCGATATGGCATGTCGGTAAGTCATTTTATATAATGTTATGTTATCGTTGCAACAAATGTATGATTTGATTCAAGAGCTTGACGAAGCAGATGAGCAAAATTGTGTACCTAGCACAATTTATATTGAGGCAATATATCTTTCGAATATGAAGATGAATTTGGGGGAATACCAGACAATGTTTGCCCAGCTCAGCATAAAAGCGGATGTGAAGTAATAATGGTTAGTGGACAACATATATAAAATTTTGATGAAGACGAAATTGAAGGCATGTTGGAAAATGATATTGCTTTATACATCACAAAAATTATCTTGGATTCTTTAGCTTCAAATATCAAAAGTTTGCCCGTTATGGTAGAAAATGCATGTAAAGTATGGATTTTAATGATCAACCAACAGCATTCAAATATACATCGTCAGACAGAAAGCGGTTACGTAGAGGAACACCAAAACCTACAAACGTTTCACGGCCACAAAGCAATAAGCAAACAACATTTCAATGGATAAAATGCATCATCTCTTACTTCCATTTTCCCAGAAGCAAATTACGAGGATTATCGTTATTTACTACCGCACCAGCAGTTTGAAAAGTATTTCGATGATTTCCGAACAAAGTGTAATATATTCGCTCAGGCACAATAGACCTAACCCAAGTCTTAGTCTTACGGAATATAATTACCACGCTAATTTTAGAAATTTATGGAGTCGGGATGAGGATATTCGAAACCACTTAGTAAGTGACACTATAAGTCGAAATCATCAATCATTTCGAAGACAACTCTAAAGCTTCTTCAAAAAACGACGGCGCCAATCGTGATAAAATGTGGAATTTGCGACCATTGACTGATCATTTAAAAGCAAAAATTACTGAATATTTTCATGCCGAACAACATCTATCCATCGACGAAAGAACGATTTCCTATTTTGGCGGGTATAAAGTTTGATTACTTTGCACTCCATCAGGTTATATAGTGAACTTTGAAATTTACCTAGGTAAGAATCCTCGTGCGAACGGAGATTAAGAAGCAAGGTTTGGAAAATGTGCTGCTATGATCGATGATATTTATGACTCATTGAAAGTGTCGCCGTTTGCTTTTTATTTCGACAACCTTTTCACTAGTTATCCTTTGTTAGCTCTTTTGAAAACATGTTAATATACTGCCACGGGAGCAATCTGTGAAAGTCGCATTCCTGCAAGCTGTCCTCTGATGCATAGAGGTTACTCGGAATCAATTGTTATGAAAAGTACTGGTATTCGTTTGGTGAAGTGGAATGTTAATAATCTACAATTTAAGGTGAAAATCCTAAGTCATTGGCACAAGAAAGTAAATTCAGAATAAACGTACACCGCTTTTGTGCGATCACAGAATATAACAAATGTATGTATGTAGAGAGTAGACCGTTTTGACCAAAATTTGGCTCAGTACCGCATCGCACAGAAAGACCCAGCAACTAGGTCTTGTAAAACACACTTGCCGATACGATCAAATTGGCCACTTTATAGCTTAAACACAATACGGGCGACGACGAATATTCGTTGTAACGGCGAATAAATGACGAAACCAAACATGAACAATGTTAATATTGCCAACGGAGACATTTTCTTAAATTTTTTTTGGAAAATTCTTAAGATTTCTACTAAAAATAATCACTCTTTGATATGGTGATGCCGTTTTTGCCGCCGTGGACGGCGATAAAATTAGAAATAGCTCTATGTCAAAAACCGTCATGGTGGACGAAGTTCGCCGCCGTCACGAATTGTTTTAATCTTCATATAGGTACAATCGTGTGTTCTAATCACCGACGGCGTCGCCGAGAACGACGAATATTCGTTGTCGCCCGTATTGTGTTTAAGCTATTAATGTGCCATCAAATCGTAGATGTTGTTCGGATGAAAATTACAGTATTAACGGGCGAACAGCAAGTGGAAAATGTAACGCTGGACTTTGCGTCAAGTGCGTAAAACAGTATTTTTTGGGGATATTATTTCAAAAAGGAAGACCTAAAAACCAGTACCCTAGGCGACCCGTGGTTACCATATGGTATTTCGAATTTTTCGGAAAAGGTTAATAATGAAACGAAAAACGGACATCATTTTCGTGCTCAGGCGGTCAAAATACATAAGTGTACTTCATTTCGGCAAAATCTGAAACGGCTTTCCGGCCTACATATAATTTTCCGATTCAGACGATGCAACGCGGTTTATATGGGATATTCGAACTTGATATATGCCGAACCTAATTTTAAACCAGTAAGGAAGGCCTAAGTTCGGATGTAACCGAACATTTTAAACTCTCGCAAAGTCAAATGGTATACTCGTTTAAGATTTCTTTGTGGATCTTGCCGCCTTGTTCTATATTGACCGATATTTTCGGTAAAAAGGCAACTATAGGCACTGGCGTCAACAAATTCAGTACATAAGAACTTGAATAGTTTTGGTTCGATTTAGACAAGGTCACAAGGTGGCATACTTTAATCGCATTATTCACGCAAATCAGATGGAATTGAAAATTGTGTTATATGGGAAATAGGCGTGGTTGTAATCCGATTTCGCCCATTTTCGCACTATAACATAGAGATATGAGAAGAATGGTATGTACCGAATTTGGTTGAAATCGGTTGAGCAGATCTCAAGATATGGGTTTTCACCTAAAACTGGGCGGTGCCATGCCCACTCTCTAATTTTGAACGTGGTTCCTATAGAGTCATCTCATATCATCCCAGAGATAAAATTTAATGTCTCTGGCGTGTTTAGTGCTTGATTTATTGCGCTTTTAGTAGTTTTTAACAGTACCGTTATATGGGGAGTGGGCGGAGTTGCCACCCGATTTTCCCATTTTCACACTGTAGGTAGAGGTTCTAAAAACATTTGCTTTCAGTGAATTTGGTTATTATAGATTTAGCGGTTTAAGAGATATGCACATTAAACCTATTAGGGGCGTGACCACGCTCACCTTAAAAAAAAATTTGAACTGCATATGCCCCTTCCTAATGTGATCCTGTGTACCAGATAAGAGTCTTGTATCTTGTTGTAGAGCTTAGTTATGGCAATTTATTTGTTTTTGAATAATGGCGTTTTGTGGGCGTGGCAGTGGTCCGATTACGTCCATCTGCAATACCAACCGTCTCACGGTACCAAGAAACATGTCTACCAAGTTTCATAGAGATATCTCAATTTTTACGCAAGTTACAGCTTGCACGGACGGACAGACGGACAGACGGACGGACAGACAGACAGTCACCCGGATTTCAACTCGTCTCTTCATCCTGATCATTTATATATGTATAACCCTATATCTAACTCGATTAGTTTTAGGTGATACAAACAACCGTTAGGTGACCAAAACTATTATACTCTGTAGCAACAGCAGGCATGGCGAGTTTAGAAGTATCTAGTGTAGATATAAGCAAGAAATACCTATGCTAGTAATAAATATATACATATATATGTCTACAAAAGTTGGTAGGATTGACTTTAAGCTGCTTCTGTTTGTTTTGTATTTAAAAATATTTGCAGAGGTTGAATTGTTGTATTTCTCTCTTCCATTCTTTGTTCAGCAATAATGCTTGCTGCATTTGCGCACCTTTACGAATATCTGATCGAAGCACATCTTTATCCTCATATTGCTTGCTCACAAAGCAATTCCTGTGCGTTTTGCATAGCAAAGTCAATTTGACCATTGTCTTCTGCTCAAAACGATGTCCGCATTCGTTATTTTCCTCACACGCCTTCATTTCAATTTGTCTATACACACATACACTTACATATAAATTGACATATGTATGTGGGTGTGTAAAGACATCTCCTAAGAAGATTTCCAAATTCAATTCGCATTGTACTGATTGCTCACGAACGGCTAACAAAAACAAAAATAATCAAGTAAGGAAGTGCTAAGTTCGGATGTTACCGAACATTTTATACTCTCGCAAAGTCACATAGTATACTCGTTTAAGATTTCTTTGTGGATTGACTGATATTTTCGGTAGAAGGTCAACTATAGGCACTGAGATCCACATATTTAGTACTTAGGGGCTTGAACAGTTTTGGTTCGATTTAGACAATTTTTGGCCAAGGTGGCATACTTTAATCGCATTATGCACGCAAAGTTTTATCCAGATACAGTCATTGTTGCCTGATTTGCATAGTGGATAGTGAAAGAATCAGATGGAATTTAAAATGGTGTTATATGGGAAGTAGTCGTGGTTGTAGTCCGATTTCGCTCATTTTCGCCCATTTTCGCACTACGACATAGAAATATGAAAAGAACGTTATGCGCCGAATTTGGTTGAAATCGGTTAAGCATATCCCAAGATATGGGTTTTCACCTAAAAGTGGGCTGTGCCACGCCCACTGTCTAATTTTGAACGCGGTTCCTATAAAGTCATCTCGTACCATCCCAGAGATAAAATTTAATGTCTCTGGCGTGTTTAGTACTTGATTTATCGCGCTTTTAGTAGTTTTTAACAGTACCGTTATATGGGGAGTGGGCGGAGTTGCCACCCGATTTCACCCACACTATAAGTAGAGGTTCTAAAAACATTTGCTTCCAGTGAATTTTGTTATTATTGCATTAGCTATTTAGGAGATATGCACATTAAACTTATTACGGGCGGGACCACTCTCACTTAAAAAAAAAATTTTTAACTGCAGATGCCCCTCCCTATTGTGATCCTGTATACCAAATAAGAGTCTTGTATCTTGTTGTAGAGTTTAGTTATGGCAATTTATTTGTGTTTGAATAATGGCGTTTTGTGGGCGTGGCAGTGGTCCGATTACGTCCATCTGCAATACCAACCGTCTCACGGTATCAGGAAACATGTCTACCAAGTTTCATAAAGATATCTCAATTTTTACTCAAGTTAGAGCTTGCACGGACGGACGGACGGACAGACAGTCACCCGGATTTCAACTCGTCTCTTCATTCTGATCATTTATATATACATAACCCTATATCTAACTCGATTAGTTTTAGGTGATACAAACAACCGTTAGGTGAACACAACTATTATACTCTGTAGCAACAGGTTGCGAGAGTATAAAAAAGGAAGTAAAGCAGGACTAAATTTATACAGGTGTTGGCAAGATTTTATATAAAAAAACGTTGCGAAGAAGTTCAACTTTCATTATTCGAAGAAATCGCGAGTAAATTACAATCAAATTTGGTAGTTTCCTGACTTATACTTGTATTGGAGGTCATTTATTTAGACTTACGTTTATTGTTATATATTGCGTCAGGTAAACTTTTGTTAAAAACATCTTAACTCTGATGTATGTATGTATGTGATATCAACTCGACCAAAGAGGATTAATTTAATATATTGAGTTGATGTGGAAATCGTCAACCAGAGGATCGGAATTCATTATAACGGGAGGTATAGAACTTTAAGTTGGCATTACTGCAAAAGATGGCGAGCGATTTAACAGCTGTCATGTGATTTATTCTCAGTTTGGTTTGGCAATTTATCATGAATAGACTCACGCCTGAACAACTCTTGCAAATAGTGGAATTATATTTCGAAAATAATCGTTCTGTGCGGAATACGTATCGCGCATTGCGTTAATTTTATCGATGCGATGAAGCGCACTTCTGGTTGAATGGCTACGTCAACAAACAAAATATTGGAGTGACGCTAATCCTCAAGCGTATGTCGAAACACCGTTACATCCAGAAAAACTGACTGTTTGGTGCGCTTTATGAGCTAGTTGAATCATTGGTCCGTACTTCTTCAAAAACGATGACGGCCAGAACGTTACAGTCAATGGTGATCGGTATAGAGCAATGATTTCTAACTTTTTCATTCCTAATTGTACAACCACGATGTCCAGGAGCTGTGGTTCCAACAAGACGGCGCAGCATGTCACACAGCTCGTGCCACAATCGATTTATTGAAAGACACGTTTGTTGACCGCCTAATTTCACGTTTTGGACCTGTGAATTGGCCTCCAAGATCTTGTGATTTAACACCGCTAGACTACTTTCTGTGGGGTTATGTAAAGTCATTGGTCTATGTGCATAAGCCACAAGCCTTAAACATTTGGAAGACAACACTCGCCGTGTTATTGCTGATATACGGCTACAAATGTTGGAAAAAGTCATCGAAAATTGGACGTCCAGATTGGACTACATCCGAGCTAGCCGTGGCGGTCATATGCCAGAAATCATATTTAAAATGTAATGCCACAAGATTATCTTTTGGATAAATAAAATTCGTGTCAATTGAATAATCCATCGTTGTTTTATTGCAATTTAAAGTTCTATACCTCTAAAAAAAACATTCTTTATTAGAGATATGAGGCGTAGACCAATTCCATTCTAATTCAGCGATAACCCACATAATTTTTTAGAAAACTTGTCCATTTAATTTC